TATATGTACCTGGAAAAAACCTTGAATCACCGATACATGTTCTTATGGATACTACATATGCACGTGTCATGTGGTGTTGTGGTCTTTACTTCTCGTGGTGGAAGAGCATTAAAAGTTGATCTTGCAACAGCTCCAGGAGGTGGTTCATTGAAGATGTGATAAGCATCCAAGACAGTCATTTCTAAAAACCGGACTGCCACGGGTTGTCCGTCGATTTTAATTGTGTCTTTGGAATTGGATGAGGTTCGACTAATGCCATTCTCACGATAGAATTTGACCACAGCATCAATTGTTGAATCACATAAAGGACGATTATTTCCTCGTAGACATTGTGGATAAGCTAGTATTCCATTGTTTTTTCGAAGAACGAGCGATCGTCGAGCCTGATTTGGCTTTGAGTTGAACCTGATCAGTGAGAGAAGTTTTTAGTAACATTTTATTAGAAATATACGTAGATATCAAACGAAATGAGGATAGAATACGCACCATTTTTTAATTTTTTGTCGACCCCATTCTTTGGGAGCAATTGTCATCAAGCGAACTTGTTCATTAGCATCATTATCAGCATATAACTTTCTCAAACCACCCAAAAGGTCATTTGATTCACGTATCATGAGTCCATGAGGATTTGGATCATGCAATACTTGAGACTTTCTATCCAATATATCACATAATCGATCAAGTTTTCTATACACCTCATTGACTTTGACTCGCATGGGTAATACTGCTGATCTAAATACATTGTCTTTTCAGAAAATTTTGATTAAATTTTTAAATTAACCTGTCATGAATCGGATCTATGTCCAATAGTTCGAATATTTTTGATAATTCTTCTATTGCTTTTTCTTTCTGGTGTTCGAGTTCATACAAAGCATGGCCTTTATCTTCTTCCATCGATTCAGGATCAGCTAATTCATCAGTGCATGGTGATTCATCATTGCCATTTGAGTCAGCTATGATAACACAGTCCATATGAGGATTCTCTTTCTCTTCTTCATTCAGATCATTATATTCTACATTCACATCATCATCATCAATTTGGTCATCATTGACAGGAAAACCTTCTTTCATGACTTCATCATCAGTTGAACTTTCATCGTTGTTGAGCTCCATTGATTGATGAATCATTATTTTCTTCGATTCAAATGTATGGCACCTTGGACATAACCAGCAAATTCGGGTATAAGTCACATCATATTGAGAGATCGAAAATGTCGATAACTGTGATGAAACAGCTACTACTCCTTTTGGCACACGTATAGATTTTGCATGCTTTATTGGATGTTCACAAATTTTTCGTTTCGGCATTGGGATACAATTTTGAAAAAAAAGATAAAAGTGGGCAATTGATATTTTCTAACATCCAATGATTCATCTCGTACTCTTATTCGTTTTGAAATCCCGATATTTTTGGATAAGACTTTACGTCTAAAGATGTCCTTATAGAGAAATGAAAAATCTATTATCTCGATGATAATGTCCCTTTCGAATTCGTAGTCTCATTTCTACAAGACGATTTAATGGCAGATCGTTCTAGTGATGTAGACAAAGTCATCAGTTCAATATCATTCTGATAAGATAGTATTATGAAAGTTGTTGCACTCTACGAGAAAGAGAAGATAATAGTTCTTCAAATTAATTGGGTGCAGCTGAAGTTGACGGAATATGACTGTTGCTATATTCATAGAAAATGACTGAACACCAAGCTGAACACTCAAGACTTTCGATAGGATGTGTCTGATGTTCCTCAGGAAACATATTTCTAGACTTGTTTCATATTTTTGAACACAAGAAGAGTCCGAAAAAATAGCTTTTGAAGAAGTTCTAGGCATTTTCTTGATAGCTTTTTCTATATGTAAAAATACACCATAAGAGTTCCGAAAAATTTCTCAAAAACTCGGGATTTTTAATAGAAAACACTTCATTTTTTTTCATCAAAAGTCTTTTCGAGTGCATACCGGCATTTTGAATAAAAAAAAATCGAAAAAAAACTATCCAAAAAGTGGATGGATCCTCATGGATTCACCCTTATGTTTTTTTAATATACAATCGAGTCATGCGCATAATCTTATGCGAACTCACAAAGTTTTCTACTAGTAGTGATACGATACTATTAAAATCATCAGATTCATGGTATCTCATGCACTATAATATTCTTAAAAATACGATCATTCACATCCAGAATGAAGGAGGATGTTGCATCTGATATTTACATCTTCGAATAGATATTTTATCATAGCTTTCCATTATATTTATATTGGTATTAAATGCATTTTAAGTTCGATAGGAAACGCCGTGTATCAAGAAAAAGTTTTTTTTTACACCTTCGTGAGAGCCACGTGTAGATTATATTTTTTATTCTTTGCCAAAAACCCTAAACATCGTTATTTCTCGCGTTTCTTTTTCTTCTTCTTTTTCTCATTGCATACACATGCTACATAAACAGCAGTCAGAACGAAAGAAAAACATAAGGCGCATGTTGATTTACAAACATATATCAAAAACAATACATCTTTCACAGTAACTTTCTTGACGATGGTTTCAATATTATTTGCAAGTTTCTTCATCATTATCGCTATATTAATTTATATTTACTTTAAACGAAGTTATTCACCATCATCAGATGATTTACCAGGAGTAAAACCACAACTGTTTTTTGGTAATATACTTAATTCGGGTATGTTGACTGGTAAATCAACAGTTACTCAAATCATGCTCGAATATCAACTTCGTTTTGGTGACAAGTTTCAATTTTGGTTTGGTTCACATCGATGTTTAACTTTCTGTCGGATGGAACATGTTCAAGCAATCTTTTCTGATCGTCATACATTCGAACAATCGCCATTATTTCTGCCAAACTTTGATCTTCTGTGTCCAAATGGAATTTTTGTGTTGAGTGGTTTAAAATGGAAACGACATATTCGAGTTTTGTTACCGATGTTGAAACGAACAAAAATCATAGTTCATTTAGAAAGTATTGTTCAATGTGCTGATCGTTTTATTGATCGAAATCTTCATCCTAACGATGTTCATCGTGATCTTAGATCATGCTGTCAGTCATTCACCATGAATGTCATCGGATTACTTGAATTTGACTATGATTTCGATTTGCAGATTAATGTACCAATCAAAAAAGCATTTTATAATTTTGTATATCAAGCTGCATTGCTTATGTATATACCTTGGATCCCTCGATGGTTACAAAAATTGTATTTGAAATTTAATTGGAACTATCAAAAATCTTACAGATTGATTCATGGTTTAGCAAAAAAACTCGTCGAAGAAGAACAAAATAAATATCACGACATGACAAATGAACGACCAAAAACTCTTATTGCATCATTAGTCTCATCATTGAATGAACAAGCTAATGATGAGCATTCATCATCAGGTATAACGCGTACAGAGATGCTAGACGAAGTTTTAACAATGATTGCAGCAGGTTATGAAACGACATCAACTGCTCTCTCATGGTTCATATTCTTCGCAAGTAAAAACCCTCAAGTACAACAACGTATGAAAGATGAATTACGTGAACATCATCTTTTGATGACTGATGATCACATAAATGCACCACCATTAACACCAGAAAATTTAGCATCATTAACATATTGTGAGTGTGTAACAAAAGAGGTTAGTTTTGTTTCGACATATTAAATTCTTTTTATTAAACTATCTTCTGTATCAAGGTCTTACGTTTGGCTCCAATTGCTCCAATTACAACACGTATAGCTACTTGTGACACCACTGTTGATGATGTGAAGATTCACCGTGGTCAAACTATTTTTATTCCATTACATAATATTAATACTGATGCTCGATATTGGCATCATGGTGACCCTCGAAAATTTTTACCAGAGAGATTTTTAGCTGAAGATCAAAATCATCATCCATTAACAATGATTCCATTTGGCGGTGGACATCGAGCATGTATTGGACAAGAATTAGCTTGGCTAGAACTGAAAATAGTTATTGTACGAATGATGCAACGTGGTATTACATTCGAAGACACACCAGAAAATACTGGCGGGTACGAAGAACACGTTACCTGTTTTCCTAAACATTTAGTAGCACGTATACACTTCGATAAATATTAATATTCTTTGCGACTGAAGCTAAAAATTCAAACAAAGTTGTCTAATATTGTTTTAACAATCTTGAGGGTGAGTGTAAAATATTTGTACGTACACTTCATCTTCAGGGAAGTTTCATTTATTCTTCATTACAAATTATACTAATTAACACACTTCTATTCGAGTTTCACGTGGACATACCTCTTATCAATTAAGAAAAAAGATAATTATCTATTTAGAGGGTGTGGGTGTGTGGATGTGGGTGTGGGTGTGGGTGTGTGAGTGTGGGTGTGGGTGTGGGTGTGGGTGTGGGTGAGTGTGTGAGTGTGGGTGTGC